GTAGAATCAATCTAGTACTTCGGCGTCCTATCCCAGTGTCAATACCAGAACGCAGGTTCCGGCCAACTGACTGGATCTCTCGGAGTTGTTGTCATTCACTCGCCATGGCCGCGTCGTTGTAGTGTTGGGTGATATTGTTATGGGGCATAATCCATAGCGGTGAATGGGATAGGGGCTCAGAGATGCCTGATTGTTTCAGGGCCGGAGGCATCTTAACCAAATACACTCTCGACGGCATGTGTTTTTGACGGCGACCTGGTAATTCCGTTACCTGGTTCCCTGGTGATTCCGTCTAAGGAGAAGTTAATCCCTGCAGCGAGAACGATTTTACAGGCAGAAATCCTTTAATTAGTTCCTGCTATGTATGAAGATTCCTCGCCTACTCCTTCAATGGATGCCGCTTAGAAGGCATATGCAGCATGTACCCGCCATTTACCAGCACTTCTATCTACGCTACAATGGTCACTCTTTGATTTCTCATTTCAGAATGAAAAAAAATGCACAAAAAAATTCGAACTTAAGGAAAATATAACTAACTATTGTAAAATTTTATCACGAACAATCAACTCTGACGAACTTTAACAAAATATATAAAACTAATTTCTGCAGGGAATCTTAATTCGCTCTAATTCCAAAATCGCACTACGCTCTCAACTACGCTCATGACCAGTGTGGTTTGCAGGTCGCAATCTCGATTAGCTAGAAATCTTCTCCGCCATTTGCTGCACTTTCATTGGTCGTGAGACTTCCCGTTCTCAGGCCACGACCATCCTTTCCGCTCCCGTTGTGAACGGCTCCCTGAAGTGTTCGTCTTTCTTTACGTTCGCGTTGCCGTTCCCGTTTGCAAGCTCCCCAGACTCGGCCAATTCAAAGCATGTGAATAATGTTTCCCACATCCTCGTGTAAATATTGACCCCCCCCCCCAATCGCCCATGTCCAGTTCGGATGGCTCAGTGTATTGTTGTACAGTGTTCCCATACATAGTTTATAGTGTAATGGCGTTTAGAGTTGAATGACAAGTAATTACTTTATTTGGGGTAGTTCTATAATAAATGAAAAAGAAGAAATGTAATGTTTATTTTAACAAAACAGTGATATATTGAATTAGTTTACATTTGTATTGCATATTTTTTAAATACTTAAAATGTTTGTAACAAATAATGTACTTCAGCTTCCGGGTCAATGACCCCCATCTCGATCAGGTTTTTGTCCAGTTTCACTGACCCATTGAGCAAATGCCGAGATAGCCCCTTGTTTTGCTTATGGACGTAAATGTAGCTTCAGTATGGGAACGTTTTGTTGAACTCTCTTTTTGCTTGTAATAGTAGTTGAGGTAACGGCGAGTTACTATTTTGTTAGCAATTCAGAAAAATCCTGCCTGCAGTTCGTTTACCGATGCAAATAAGTTTTCTATAACTAAAGAACAAAGATGTCTAGTTTTTTAAATATTGTTTATCTCGCGCTTTTTAAAATTTATTTATTTATTTTAAACTTTTACTCATCTTTGAACTATTTATAGTTAAAATGATGCGAAGGGATCCTGGAACTCAGGAAAACGTGCGCAGATGATCTTCTCCCCCATATGTCACATACAGTTTTTACTGTTTTTTGACTAAATTAATCTAATCTAAATCTAAACGAAATATATAACCTAATTCTTCAGTATTTCTTGGTCTGATAGGCAATAATATGTGTGACCTGTGAGTGGAATTGGGGAACTAGCTCCATGCACCCAGAACAATGGCAACCCAGCTCTGAAACGGGACCAACTTGGTTGGTTGGTTGTCAGTGATACCGGGCTCGTCAACGGCTAAGGTTATTGGTCCCGTAAGTATAGTGCTTTTCTCTCTCTCTCGGGAGGTGGCGGTGTTCCTCCTTCCCTGGATGGCGAGATCCGGCGTCGACCTTTCTTCGACTAGCGGTGTTTTCCCTAACCAGGTATCTCCCATCAGCTGGGGGAACCGTCCCAGTGGAGACAAGCTCTGAGCTCCCGGCCGGTCTCCCGGCATGTGTTGTAGTGCAGTGCATGTAAGAGTAAGTAAGGGGGTGGATAGGGCAACGAAGAGGAAGGACAGATCGCGAGTAGTCCGTAGTTCGCTTGTTAGGGTATTGCTCCGGCATTCACCTGGTACTGATCGGAGAAACCACGGAAAAATACCGATTAGAGCAGCCGGCGCTAGAATTCTCGTTCAGACAGCGACTAAATATGACCTATCATACAAGCTAGTGTCTAAAATCCTGCCTTCGTCGGGACTCGAACCTAGAACCTCCCGGTCAGAAGCATTGGAGTGATGTCCGTTGATGCCCTGAGCCACCTCCCCTAGTCGTGGGACTAAGCCTTAGGCAGTTATCTAAAAATATAGGACCGAGATAGGTCCGTGCTGTGTTCGAGGAGTGCGAAGGTGCACTTGTCTGTGAATAATCCCAGAGAAGCGTTCGGAGTAGTAGGTACCGGCAGTTGATCAGTTTTTTAGGGGTTGATGGGAGACAAGAAGCAAACTCGTGGCTCAGAGCTAAAGTGTTTCCGCTTGGCTTTCCCCAAGGAGGTCCAGGTTCGATTCTGTCACCAGCTCATGTGAAATTTGTTCTGAAAAAACCAGTTTCACTGCTTCACAGGGGCTAGTCCAACCCCCTGTGAAATGCCCTAAACCCTACCACTGCCTTAATTTCGTACCAATTAAAAAAGAGCAAGGCTGGCATCCAACTGTTTTTAATATCCTCTTAGAGGGATCACCCAAAGATTATATATCACCAAGGATCACACGCGATCTGTGTTACTACTACTGTTAATACTACAAGAGCAGGGCGGGACAAAACTGATAAGCTAGCCTAGACTGAAGAGAATACGAAACAATAACTGCGAGTAAGTCTGGGCCATTCTGTATCACCATTAATTCGAATGTACTTCCAAGATGCCAGAGCCTAGTGCCATTGCTCTTCTGAAAAATAAATCGTTTTCAAAATCCATATTAAGAGTACTACTTCGCAAATTTGGCTTTATAATGCTAATGTGTATAAAATTATACGTTTTTCCATCTATAAACTGTAATTGTCCTGCGACATTGGCACTCATACGTTCCCACACGTCACCAATGGAGTTTCAAAACCATTGACTTTCAAACACATTCCATAGTTGTGGGTCGATGTTTTATTATCATCAATGTTTTAATTTTGAAGATCGATTTTCTAAACATCGTTTTGTGGCGATGTTGCATTCATACTCCACCATGTCACTTTTTTCTGTCATGTCCCTACGCTATATTTGTCTTCCTCCATTACATGCGTCGGCCATTTGCTCCCAAAAAGGAGGGCTTAGAACCACGAGTTCAGCCGAACACGGTTCTACTCTGACCATAGAATAATGAGATATACCTCCTTAGTCTATGCTCTGTCCATTCCTTAACTGCTCCATTTCAGCTAAAACCGATTTCAACTATTCTTTTACAAAATATCATTCATCTCATTTTCCCTGGCCAATTCGAATAATTCTTATTCTACTTGTAAAATAATATTTTTTTCTCAAAATGAATTTGAACTAGGTAATTCTTGTTTTAACGAATATAAGGTTTTACCAGTAATAATGAGTTCTTAGTAATTTGGTAAGTAAACATGTCTGTAAATTTCATCACATTGTAAGACAAATGATACAGTAAGAAAAAAATACCTCTTGCACTTAGTTTCAAAAACTTCAAAATTGATTCATGGCAAAACAATTTTTTTGAAATATGTAGTACATACATTAAATTCTTATGATGACGATGCATTAGATCAGTTGTTGTTGTTTTTTTTGTTTCAGGGCGACCACTGCAATACGACGATAATTTCTTTGGCCCAAGAGCCAAGCGATCTTGCACAGACATAATTTGTCTCTTGTTATTTGTTTGCTTCCTAATAGCATGGATAGTGGTAGGATGCATAGCTTTTGGGCAAGGAGATCCTAGCAGAGTTATAGCACCAGTGGATTCTGATGGAAAGCGTTGTGGATATGATGAAGAAGTGGCAGATAAAAAGTATCTCCTTTACTTCGATATTACAAAATGCGGAGAGCATGGGTGCTTTACTCCTCAGGTATGGAGTCTCATTAAAAAAGTAACTTTAATACCAGGAGGCCCAGGTAAAACAAGAGGCCTAGGACTTTGACAAAGGTCCTTTATTTGAAACTAGTTTTCATCCATAAATATTTTAAAGTTAATTATACTTCAACTGCAGTTATATAAATGTTATTTTTCTTCAAAAAATAATATTGGCGAAAAGAAATTTTATATATTTTATAATTAAATTTGCAACAATTTTCTTAACAATTTATTATACATTATGATAAAATATCATAATCAAAAATTGAAAATTTAAATTTCCCATGCTTCTTTCATTGATGAAATTTTTTTCAAGAGATGGCTGAAAATGAGAAGGATAAAAATTGCATTATTATATTTTTCCTAACTTTTGTTCTGCAATCAGCTCAATTCGGAGCTAAGAACTTGGAAATACAACTAAAGAAATTTAACATAAGAAAACTGTGCCAAGTTATGCTGGTATACCCATTAGCAAAACGTGGTCATTAAAAATCTCTGAACTCGAGAGTTAAAATTATATATAAGTATCATTAGTGAAATTGAGGTTAAAACCTTTGTGTTGTAATTTTATAAGCATTCAAACACACGGAAAATGCTGTGTTATTAATTATCAATGTAAGTACAGGACATCGTGTTCACTTTGTCGTAACAAGTTATGAAGCTGAGTTTCATCTATATTCTTGTAGTAAATATTTTTAGGCAAATTTAAAATATATTCTCACTAATTAAAAATTTTCTTAATAACATAGCAAGACTTTCAAAAACACTTATATGTGAAAAAACTTTGTCATGAGAGAAGTACATAAATGTTTAGTCATGTGGATGGTGTACTTCAAAATTTAAGATATCTGAGAACCTTTGGTTAATGCAGTTAATAAGACATTATTTTTGCTATTTTTCTTTTCAATTCTGAACATCTTTGTGTCTCAGGTATGTGTTGAAAAATGTCCAACAGAAGTGTATTATGGAAAATATTATAGAGATATGGGCCGAGCTGCAACTGAGCGAAGCAAAGGTATATGTAGAGGAGAGAAACCTAGTGCTGCCCATATGCAAGATGCAATTGAGTACCATCATTGTGCTGCCTGGTACCTCCCTCTCAGAAGTGGTAAAATATTCAGATTCTTTGTTATTCTTATAAAATTGTTTATGCTGTACAATGAACTTTTCATTACCACTCACAACTGTTTCTTCACTTTGCAGTTGGGCGACGTTGTATTTATGTACGAAAAGAAGACTTCATGAATGATACATTATATAAAAGTTTAGAGGGTGAACTTAAACTGAAGTTTTCTGATATAGAAAGAGGTGCTCAAAATGCAAGGTCACATTCCCAGGAGAGAACGGTAATTAGAAAATACAATTGACTAAGATTTACAAGTCATGAAAACAAATGAAAAACTTCATGTATGGAAATATTTTAATTTTTTATTCAAAAAGGTTAAATCAAACTCCATATGTTAATGGAAGCACAAGGAATATAAAAAAACGATTTATTCAAAATTTGAGATATTGCAGTTTGAATTATCAGAGTATTGATATTTTTTTGTAATTCATCTTTGTTATAGAAATGTTATTTTTTCAGCATACATATCCTTTATAATTGCATCTCCTTGTAAGCTATTTTCATCGCACCCGGTCAAATTGTATACAATTATTAGGGCTCAGATTTTTAGGTTTCTAAAAATTCATTGTAGATTTTATAAGGATTTTCATAATGAAAATAATATAAGGGCAGGCAATTTCATAATTTTGGTGTATATAGTCCAATTCAAACTGAAATTATGCCTATTACAATTGTTCAGAAGAATGTCAAAACAAATCTGATAATTAAAGCAAATAATACTCTATCTACACAAAAAATTAGGTACACAAAAATAAAACAATAATATGATATGTAAAATTACAAAACAATTCAAAAAGTACCATAGAATTAGATTCAGAAGAAAGACAATACAAAGGAAGGACAATCATGGATTTTCAAATCCTTCCAAGCCTGTCAAATTCTAGAACCATCATAATCAATCAGTTATGTTCTCAAAAGTCATAAACCTCTTAGGTGTATGGATGAATTTCAAGAGGGTATAACATTTCAACACATAGACTAATAACTTTTGCTACACATGCAAATTCAAATTGAAGAAATCAATAAAATAACAGTTTACTAATTTTGGAGTTTGAAGCCATTTGTTGTTGTTGTTGTTGTTGTTGTTGTTGTTGTTGTTTTCCTTTTTCTGATGTTCAATTCTGATTTAAGTTTTAGGCATGATAAAACTGAAATATCAAACTTCCACTATCATGATTCTGATAAGTACGCAAACTTTTTTTTTGGAAGCAAGGAACAAAGTACTAGGTAAAAAACTGAACTCGAAACAATATAATATCAAAGCTAAGGAAAGACCCCCAGATTCATTAGAACCTGATGACACAACATCTTGTAAAATTCCTACTGCTGGATAAGGCATTACCCTTCACGTGTACATCTAGTTGATTAAAGACATAAAACATTGAACTTGGTTCATTAGGTGATAAAAAAATCAGCAGAGGGTAGTGCAATTCACAGTACAAGTTATGCTGATTCTGACACATCCATCATACATAACTAAAAATCCCTGTGATTAGACACTGAAGGGAGGCCGTGATCTACATATGAAACTTTTTGGGACTTTCAACATTTTTCAAGGTTTATCTTTTCTGGGTATGTGTATTTCATAGCACCAGTGATTAAAAATATACAGAATCTTGAAATCTATGTAAAATTTAATTTACTATTAGATATTCTGTGAGACTAATTCTTTTTTATTGTTAATATACTGTTGGGCAATTAAGCAGGGCTTGATTTCTGGTGGAACGTGTCAGAACAGCATTCTGGTACTTTGGGAATAATGATTAAATTATACTATAAATATAAAATTATTTCTATTAAATTAATAATTAATTTGGAGTGTGTTCCGGAAACTAAAATTTTATAAATCAAGCACTACTCTTAAACATTTAGATTGATTGCACACATACCCACAAAAAGTATCAGATCTTTATGATGTAAAACACAGTTCAGGGTCTGACTGCTCTATGTTAGGTATCAGTATATTCAGTGATGCTCCATGTCAGGTTTCAGTAATATTTTTCTTCTCTTATCTGTCTTTCTCATTCTTTCCAGGTTTGGGATACAATTGTCATTAATATTGAAGAGAATTGGGTCACCTTGGTTGTTGCATTAGTGATTGCTATGGTGCTCTGCATGATTTACATTGTGATCATGCGATGGTTTGCCTGGATTCTGGTCTGGGTATCTTTGATTGGTGTACTTGCTCTCCTGGGATTCTGTGAGTTACCTCCTTTACATATACATTATTATTTTTCTGACTTGCAAATACCTGCAAAAATATGAAATGGTTGGAAATAATTTATCATTTTTTTAAAAACTGGTTACTGTGTGGTATTGCTGAATCATTGATTTGTATTGAATTGTCATTATTTTCTTTCTATTGACACAAATGTTAAGAGTTGTACATTAGAGAATTCAGTAATGTAGTGTTAGAGAATACAGTAGTTGGAAATATTTGAGTTTGTCAGATTGTCATTAAATAAAAATAAAAAATGTCAAAAAGAGAATTATTGTTATATTTATTAAATATTGTTTTAAACTGAGAGTTTATAAAACTATAAAATAATATTAAAAATAATATTTTTGATATTTAAAGGTTGCTATGCTTCATGGACAAAATATGCTGAAGCAAGAAATGAGGAAGATCTTGATCCCACAAGAGGGCCTATTAAAATATCATGGCTGATACTCTTCATAGCATCTTGTATTGTTTTGGTTGTTGTGTTTTTATTAATAATTTTTCTGCGCACTCGAATTCGCCTTGCTACAGCTCTCATTAGTGAAGCAAGCAGGTAATTTTTCTCCCCCCAGAAAGTATCATTAATAAATATGTATCTGTATTGCTGAAAGTTTGATTGTTAATTAAATTAAAGCAGATGTAACTAACTAATTTAATAATACAATCATTTTTAATTTTTATTTAACAAGTGGCCATGAAAAGTAGCATGTAATATTTTACTTTTATATCTATATCTGTAATAATTAAATCAAAGTAAAACACAAATCAATTTCTATGCTGGAAATGAAAATATTGCTTAGATTAGTTTAAGGTAGTTTTGGCATTGTTGTGTAATAGTTTATAGGTAAAAAGTAGATTTTCATACATTTGTAAATGTGTTATTTCTATACTACTCTAAGAACATATTTTACTGTAGTGAAGCATAATTATGCCAGTTTTTCAAATTTTAAGATAAAATTCAAATTAGTATCTTTAATATTACTGTAACAAGCCAAGAGACCCTCCCACTTTATCAAAATAAACAATATTAGAATATTTATTAAATATTATGTTGTGGGACAGATTGAATTCAAAATATTGAAGGAAAGTTCAGATCCATTTCATTAACTTCAAGTACAGTAATATCATATTATTTCACCAAGAATCATCTTCCTTAACTTACATTAAAAAACAATCTCTATTTGTTTAGGAATAAAGAATTCCCTCTTTTCCTCTCCATTGTCAGTTTCTTGGAGATGTGAATTAACAAATGGTGTTATGTATGTTGTATGTGTATAGTTAATTTGTACCAATAATTAATGCCCATTACAGGTGTAATGAACAATGCTTATTATAAGAAAATATTCTCAATAAGAAAACATTATTTTTATGATTAGTTTCTTTCAAGAATTTGATTTTAACTTGAGATAATATAATTTCTTTTTTTCAGAGCTGTTGGAAATGTAATGAGTACGTTATTCTTTCCATTGGGGCCTTGGATATTTCAAATGGCTGTGATTGCTTGGACAGTAGCTGTATGGGTATATGTAGCATCTTCAGGAAATCCTAATTATGAAGTTCGTGGACTTGATAATAAAAACTGTATTTGCGAAACCTATTCTGTAAGTAGAAACTTTTCATAAAAGCTACATCTCTCAGTCATTAGAAGAAATTAGCACTAGATATTCTGGGAATTTGTATAAACTCAAACATTTTTACTTGTGATATTCCTTTTCAAGAAAATTTGCATTATCTTCAAAACAATACTTTCTATTACTATACTTATACTGTACTATACTTACTATTATGTTAATTTAAAGACAGTTTAATATTTGTCTAAAACTGTTTATACAACCACTGTTATGTCATTCCATATAAATGAAATGCTTAGAAAATACATCTAGTTAAACTTGTATTGATACTAGAAAACTTCCACCTGAATTGAAGGAAAGAAATGAAAGTGACAGCTAGAAATAAATTGTTCTTTATTTGCTTGTTCATTTAAACAATTTTCTTAAATTAAAAACTGAGAGTGATGTATTATGGAAAAAAAGTGTGATCTGTGCATATTGTTTAGAGCTTTGAGATCTCTATATTATTTTATGTTGAATTATGAATATAAGTTGCAAAGAGCAGTTTTGGCAAGAAAATATTTTCTACCATCTAATAAAAACTATTGCCAATGGTTAATAAGCTCTTATTACTTATTGTGTCCAAAGTAAATGAATAGTCTTTATTTTGCCAGAACAAATAGAATGATTGCTTGAATAACTATACATATTTTCCACTAAATTCAAGAAATCATGTACAGAGAGTGAAGCTCTATTTATGTCCAGAAGCAAAAGAAGGGGCCATCACAGGATTTGCTGAAAGGATCAAGGGAAACTGGATGAAAAACCAGATTGAAATGGGGGTTTGAACTCATCATTAAGGAAATCATTATGTGAAATTAATGAAAGATTTTATGATTTTTGGAACAGAAATCCCAAGTATTTCATTTTTATAATATAACGTTTTGAATTGTCTGTTGTACAAGAGATTTTAACTTTTCTAGAATGGAGATTCGTGTGAACCATTTACATTCAATAAACAATGCAGCAGTGCCATGAGCATTTGTGGAGATGTTGCTTGTGCATTCAAGAGATATGAAAGCAGGGCAACTACTAGCTACTTTCATGCTATAAACATTATTGGTTTCTTCTGGATATTGTGTTTCATATCTGCATTTAGTGACATGGCTCTGGCTGGAACGTTTTCAACATGGTATTGGACTAGAAACAAATCTGATGTTCCTTTTTTCGCTTTGACCCAAAGTGTTGGAAGAGCTGTAAGGTAAGATATATAATTTTCCAATTTGAGTTTTTTTCTAGAATTATTTTGTGCCTAATATTTTCACTGTGCAATGGTGTTTATTAAATAATTTAAAAATAATTTTAATGGTTGCTACTTATTTTACAGGTACCATTTGGGAACTCTTGCTTTTGGCTCATTGATTTTGGCAATATGTCGCTTAATTAGAACAGCTCTTGAATATGTTGAAGAGCAATTAAGAAAATATGATAGTGGACTAGCAAAATGCCTGATGTGTTGCTGCAAATGCTTCTTTATGTGCCTGGAGAGTTTTATAAAATTTATCAATCGAAATGCCTACATAATGTGTGCAATACATGGCAAAAACTTTTGCCGTTCTTCTCGTGATGGTTTTAACCTAGTGATGAGAAATATTATTCGAGTTTTGGTCTTAGATAAAGTGAGTGTTAATTATTTGCAGAAATAAATATATATTTCTGTGATAATTTCATGTTACTTAAAAATAGTTTGTACTATTTAAAAATATTGACAGCATGTCAGAAAATGAAACATGAAGGAATTTAGTAAGTAAAGAAATTACATAGTAATAAAATTAAAGGAATAATTTGAATCTGACAAGAGCTCTCACACAAAGGCTGGGTCTTCACATTATGATTTTACCAAATAATTGGTTTTTGTAATTTTATTACCTTCCCTATTAAGAATTATTTTATTAAATATACTTTTATACTTTCTTTTGAGCCTACTAATTGTGTTTATTTACAATGCAACTAAAGATATTTTATTATCTAACAAAAACAAAAAATCAGTTGCTTGTAAGGGCAAGGGGCCGAGAACTGACCAAAGCAAATGGGGTTTGATGAGAAATGCATCTTCCCACAATATTTTAACATTGTTACTTTCACTTACGTTATCATGATGTGAACAGCAAATAAAATTTGACTATATTCAGTAATATCTTCTATTTCACAGTGCCTGTAGTAATATTCAATTTTTCAAATTTGCTATCATTGCTTTGTTCATTGATAATCTGCATACACAAGCAAACCTTGTTAAAACCATTATAGATCATATTATGAAATGATCTTTTGAATGTCAGCTAAACCCTTTGTTTACTAAGATAAATGTTTTACAAATTTTACTGACTGAGAACATTTGGCCCCACTATTTTTTTCCAAATAAATACCAATTTTTTAATATATTTATTAAAATAAAATTATGATAATATGAATTAAGGGTACAGTTGTTCCTATTAGCAGATAATGAAGGTAATTTTTTGATCACACACATCACTATTATCTAGACACATATCTATATCACTTCTATCTGACTGTCTATTTAGTTCTTCATGTAGCATGTTTTGAATTTCATTCTTCCTTACTTTATAAGGATTCATTTTAGAACTCTATATCCTTATCAATGAGTAGTCAACAATCAACTAAATTTGAATACAAATAAATCTATTTTAAATGTTATGAATCAAACTTGCCAACAATCAAGTTTTAATATTTTCAAATAATAATTAAAATAAACAGTTTCTAAGTCGGTACACACTGCCACATTGAAGTATTTAATATATTAACTATTTAAAAAACAAACGGCTAAGTGTTATTTAACTACTAATAAAAACTTGTTGGACAAATACATGTACTGCCAGAACTATATTTTAAAACCATCAATAACTTTTTAAAAATATATGGTGCGGTTACATATTGTACCCACACCAAGTAGATGTTGTACCCACTCAGTAAATGTAAGGTTCACCTGTTCAAAGTTGGTAAATTAACCCACTTTCCATTTGTTGAAAGTAAGAGAGGGGGTACTTACTGTATTATTTAATTTTGTTTTAGGTGACAGACTTCCTCCTCTTATTAGGAAAATTACTTATAACAGTTGGAGTGGTGGCTGTGGCTTTTCTTATTTTTGACAACGATGTACATTATGATGGTGATGAAGATATTGAGGAATATGCCTATTATTTAGTGCCGATCTTTATTGTTGCAATAAGCACATACTTTGTCGCCTGTGTATTTTTCTCAGTTTATGCAATGGCTATAGATACAATATTTCTCTGCTTTTGTAAGTATTTTTTGCAAAAACATTTTTCTAATTCATAAGAATGCTTTTTTCTTAGATATCACAGTTCTTCATGCTTTATTCTTAAGGATATTGTAATATTTTGAAACTCATTCATTAAATGCCAAAAAAAGAAAAGAATGACAGTAATATCTTCAGAAATAAATTAAAATTATTTATTTAATACATTAATATCTTTATATTATATAATATAAAGTTATTCGTATTAAAATTTTTGTATTATTTTACATTTATATTTTAATTAGAAAGCACCAAGCATTAATCTTTTTCTTTCATTAAGTTGCCTCTCATGTAAAAACCTTTTTAAACCATTCTTAAGGACCTTTGTTGCTGAAGTATTTATGCTATTGGCTGTAATCGATTATTAATACTAGAAGCTAACAATTATTGATGACCAGCTGCAAATGGTTATCCTGTTGATTGTTGTCTCAAATAGATGGACTCTTGCACACTACTATTCTTCAATATAAGAAACAAATTTAAAACATTTTTGGTATAATAGACAACAACAAAAATTGAGGGGAGTTTAATTGCTATAACTTGTAGCTATAACATTTTTTGCAGGGAGTGGTGTATTTCCACACATAATCCCATGTTTTCTGTATCAAAATTCCTTCAATGTATGTCTTCCATGTTTGAAAATTATTACCCCCTAATAAAACATATCTTTGCAAATTTATATTCCTATTCTACAACATGAATTTAAGCAAATAATTCAAATTTTTAAATTTCTCATGGAACTGAATCTATTACTGCATTGATTTTAATGACTGAATTTAATTAATGATAGAAAATTGATTGTGTTGGAAATTATTTAGCAGGATCATATATGAATAATTTAGAAAAACAAAACACAGGATTTAATAATAACACTCTTTTTTGCGGTTCAGTTATCATACAGCCCATCATTTTTGGTAAAATACTTTATCTATGAAAACTTTTAAATGTGAGGATGTTTGTTCAAAGATATGTAATAACTACTTGAGAAAATATAGGTGCAAAAAATACGAAGACATTCTAAAAGTATGATATTGGGATGTTGTTCTTGGTACTAAATATAAACACAATATTATTTCAAATAGGTAATTTTACAATGATGCAAAGTATAAACAAGCTATTGCTATTCTAAAGTGTGTATTAGTTCCTAGTTACATCTGTTTAGTAAACACCAAAAACAATATGTATCTACGGTATCGTAATCAAAAATTAATTGTGTGTTCTCTTTCAGTGGAAGATCTAGAACGAAATGATGGCTCTCCTGCAAGACCATATTATATGTCAAAGAAATTGTTGGAAATTCTTGGCAAGAAGAATGATAACTATATGGAAAGGTTAGAATAAGATGTAAAGGGAACTGCTTTATTCAAATATATTATTTTCTTACACTACTTTTCTCAATTTTATCTTCCTCCTCTTCCTGAGCCATATCCTTATTGGGATGTTGGTGACAGAGAAGAGATACTTGGCAACAGGAGTTAATGAATGTTGATACAATGATTGTATGGGAAACATTGGTGATTTGCCTTTGCTTTCCCTGTAACATTCACAATGTGAATCCATGTCTTACATGCAAGTTGAACCCACATCTTCAACTTTTGCCAAGTGTTGTTACCACTGAAGTTCTCTGCTGTCTACATTGACCTCTACTCTCTGTCTAGTATTATTTTAGGATAATATTGTATATGTTTTGTTGTAACTAGTTTACATTATAATATGTGATAAGGGATAACAATTTTAAGCTCGAAATGAGAATTTTTCAAGCTTTCTACATCTAATGTGAAATGGAATAATTAGCAGAATACTTAAGAATGACCTTCTATTCATTTTCATAAGATTAATAATTTCTTTTTATGGGTTTTGTTTTCAAGTTAAATTTGATTGGATTACAATTCATTACCAACTTGATGTTTTATATCAGACACAAACTTTTTCCTCAAGTCTCTATAAAACCTTCAATTTATTATTTATATTTAGAAACAAAGTTTGGATTGAAATGAGAAACTCATTTATTAAGATTTGAGTTTTCTGTAATAAATATAATTGAAAAACAATATTTGAAGGGAATAGTATCTATAAAATAAGTTTTATGGATATGTTCATACATTAATCTTTAAGTATTTGAATAATAATTCTTTTGAATTAACAGTTAATGTTTAGAACTGATTCATTTCCATTTATTTTCAAAAATAATTTAATTGAGACTTTTCAATAAACATTTTTTGAGAAAGAAAGAGTATTATATGATGGATAATTGTAGAATTGAAAGCCAGTTGAAGAGTTAGCTACAATCTTCAACAAACTCGTCTATTATAATGGATTGAAAATTTATGACTAGGGGCTGATTTTAATGAAAAGTAATTTTTTTCTTTTCACTTTAGTACAATGCTGTTTAGTACAGAAATCCATTTTATGTTATGACAAAATGAAATGACCTACTTTTATGTCATTTCTTAGCATTTTTCATCGATTAGGACTAATAAGTCACTATTTACCTTTTTACATAACTTTTAATGCATTTTTCACAGATTTCATCGATTTTAATATCATTTTAATGGTATTTGCTTCAAACAATGTTTACGAGGTGCAACAAATGTTTGCCAGAGAATTCCTGAGTAGCCTGTTCAATTTTTCCCTCATATATTGTAATGTCAGCCGTTGTGTGCACTATGTAATCTAAGATTCCTGTGACCCCTATAGGCACCATTGCCAATTTGACCAATTTCGTGATAAACAAAGCCAGAGATTTTCTTTTAAAGAACAGTCCAAACCAAAAGTTTGCAAGCTGAGTTCACTTGAACAAAAGGAAGAAGCCTCCATTACATCAGGAATATATCCAACAGCTTGAGTTGTTCATATGAAGTGGTTTTGATCAATTTGTTAAGTCATTTTTCTTTGTTTTTAGGACATTTTAAAAACATTTTAAGAGCATTTTTTGATCATTTTTGGCAATGTTTTAGGTCATCATAATCTGCCCCCTATTTATCACATTGTTATTATCATTAGAGTTGTTTCAAAATATGTGTTTACTGATGGATATGAAAGTGATAGGGGCTTGTTTTCTTGTTACTCAAAAATTAGAATTAACTGATTTTGATAGTTTTACTAGGATTTAAGTGACATTTATTTCCAAACTTACTTGATAATTGCTTGAAAAACTCTGGAGCATTCAAATAAAATTTATTTTTTTGAAGCAAAATATTGTGAAGATAATATACATTATAATTTTTAATGTATTATATATATATAGCATTTATTTTTGTATGAATTTTTTATTACCTGAGAATTTTTATGAGAAAATTCAATTTATTTTAATTTAATTTAATATATATTTTAATATAATAAATTTTAATACCAAAATCATAATATTTATTGTAGTGAAAGGTACAAAATATCTATGAGTTAGTGAAATTTTAGAATATTATAGAGAAAATAGTTTGTGAATATCATGATAACAATATATTCAATTCTTTAATCAGGCTTTTGATATTGAATTTTTAAACATATTTACAGAATGAATGATGGCAATCCCAGTGCACATCCACTTATGAATAGGGAAGAACAAGCCCCAAACCAGTGATGAGCAATGACCAGGAGCTACTGCAGTGAGACTCAAATTTGATACATAGGAAGAAAAATGAGGAAAAATCTTCAGAAATTGGTTTTTGAAACAGACTATGAGATCATATGAGTAATTCTTGAGAGAGAACTTGCTGCAAATGGTATCAGACTGACATTTATGAGGTGCCAATTTAAAATAATCTAGTTTGAGAATGAAAAACAGATTTTGGGACTGGGAATCTCTCTCCTCCCAAGACTCCATTTCAATCGGTCTCTCTCTTCCTGCAATTTTATTGAAAGGGATTTTCAGAAGGAAGGAGAGAATGGTTTACACTAAGGCATGTGAAGGTGACCCTGATTACTACACTTATATCGTGAAGTATCTTTTTAACTGGTATTTCAAGATTTGGATCTAAAAATTGCAAATTAGCAAACAGCTGTACAATGCAAGTATTTTAATTGATTACACAGGTCAATAATGAAAAATCATCAGAAGTAAAATTACGTGTAATTTACTAACACTAAGTATGCCCTGCTTCCAAACATATTATGTTCTTATAATTTCTCTTGCATATATCATTTTGTGATAAGAGTTTTAATATTGTGAATATGCAGATTAGCCCCTAAAATGAGGACTTACCTAGTCACCATGAAAAATCATCAGAAAAGAAAATAAGTGATATTTACTAAGTGTCATGCCCTGATGCCTAATATGTGCTTAGATTTTCTCTAATATGAATTGTTTTGGAGATAGAATAGTTTTCATATGGTGTCTGTGTGAATAATCCATGGCAAAGCTGTTCCTTCAGGGACTGCTGGACTGATGAGCTTTTGTTTTGTCTTTTGTATCTCGAAACCATGGAGCTAGGAATAGCTCCATGGTATTTACAGCTCCATGTTCAAAACACACAAGATACTAATATAAATGTAGGTGCCTCTCTTTGCTGGAGTCATGTGTTGTCAATGGAGCTTTCTTGAAACTCGCCTTGATATACAATATTTATATAGACCAGTGTTCTTGTTGCTGCAGAAGAGTGGGAGTATCTTTTGTTTATATCCATGTGTTATTAATATTTCTCAACACATCTCAAGAACAAGATGCCTGAACAAAATTTCAGTGAGTATGTGAACATAGGGAAAAACAAAACTTCAGATTCTGTTAACGGAACCATACGACTATTGTGTACATTTCAAAACCTGTAAGTTCTACTCTTCCTTTACCAACACAATTTATAAGGAAATGGAGTTTACCAATTTTTAGTGTAATAAATGGATTTGCTATTGTAGAAAAATGGTGAGTGATGATGGCACAAATAAGAATGCAAAACCTTTACCTGTGTTAAAAACTGATTTAGAAAAATATGATTTTATTTCTGATGATTACATTAAGTTTCATTTTGTAGACCTGTTTTATTGTCCATTTTTCAGACCCTAAACACATTCTATGAGTAGTGTGGCTTAAGTGCAGTTCTTTTCACATATTTGATTGCTTCTGATAAGAATTAGAAGCACTTGCTTTGGAAGTTGCTCATCTACTTGAAAACTGCAAATTAGTTTTAAAAGAAATACACTAAGATTTTTAATACCTGAGTTAGATCACAACAATCAAAAGTTGAAAAAATTGCCCATAATGACTCCTATCTAGGATTTACTTTCAACTTTTTAAAATTGCTCGTATTAGCATCAAATATACATCAAATAGAGAGTTGATTGAACTAATGTTATTTTAAGCACTGGAAAAATAGTAGTAATGAGCTTGAGAAAGTTTACTCTTATGTATTTCAGAGAGTTCATTTTTGCATCATAAATACACAGTTACTTTTTATTTTTACAGTTTTTATGATATATATTTTTTTATTTTAGTAGTATCAATACAGTCAGGGCAATCTTTTAAAGAATTGCCTTCTGGCAAAATGTGTTGGGGACTGGAATTCACATTATTTAGCTCTAAATGATGCGCTGGCATTCTTTGCAGCTGTAGCGTAATACATGTAAACAAATACAGTGTTTTTACAATGACAAAAGATGCACCAGGTACAATAGCTCACTGTCATCATGGTTGCCTCAGCGGCATCATTGACCAGAATATCATAATGTTTGAGCCCTGATGGTAGCAGTTTATTGACATTAACTACTTAACTGAGTTGAATTCAACCACTGTCTAAACAAGCAACTGGTTATTCTGATCAGTAGCTTCATATCCCAAGGGATAAGAGATTGCTTTAAACACCAGAAAAATCTTGGCACGTCTATTATTCATTAGCTCATAAATCTTTGCCCATTTTGACCTCAGCAATCATTGGTTATGATAATGTAAATATTGAGAGGGAAAAAAGAAAGAAAGAAAAGAAAACAACTGGTATTGTAATTCTCTAGTCCACGCATGGTAGATTGTGGAAATGTTTTCTGGGAGCTCTCCGTCCATCCTGAGAAAATGGGGCGGGCACACGACTATGGCTTATGGCAGCTGATAATGCCGCAGCCAATGTTCGAGCTGAAAAACCTTTAGAGCTATTCATTCAAATGAAATGTTGCTGTTGCAATGGGCATAAAGAATATTAAAGTTGGCCAAAATGTCTTCAATATTGACCCACAATTTCTATTACTATTTCATATAATTTCTTTCATTTTATACTGACAGGCAATAGGGAAATATCTTAAGAGTGTATATTCAAGAACGAATACTATCCTGTACCATACCTGTGATTGCCGATTTAGACCTTTCATGAAAAGAAAAATTAATCTGCTGTTGCTACTGCTATTGGAGTCATGGTGGTGAACTGTCAGATAACTTTTTTTATTTATTTATATTAAAAACAGTTAAAAACTGAGGGGGAAAGTTGGGGAAAAATTGGGGAAAAATGGGGAAAAGTTAAATTGAAGTTACATTAATGTCCAGAAGCAAAACAAGGGGCCATCTCAGCATTTGCTCAAGGATCAGGAAAACTGGACAAAAACCTGATCAAGACGGGGTTCTGGAGAAGAAAAATTCCAGTTTCTGATTCAATTTAGGCACTCAATAGAGAAACTTAACTGTATTTAATAGTCAGTTTATGTACTATTTTCAGATATTTATAATTGCTATTTGGTAAACCAGTTGTGATTATGTGTGATTAATCTTCGAATGGTCATTTCATTAATGATGTCATTAAAGAGAACAAAGTGAAGGTAAAAACTCCCTTAACATTTTACTTTCTATGATAAAACTGCCAAAGGAGAAGGATATTTCTGTCAAACAAAATTAATAAACATTGTTTTTGATGATGCTTGGTGAAAGCTTTGATAGTGCTGGATAATTCATACTCGTGAGTATTTGCAAACCTTCTGATCATCTAATATCATTTTATTTTCCTGAATAAAGAGATCTTGCCAACGCTACTACATAAACCATTTAGCCGATTTCCTCCAATATTCATATTACCCGGTCGATTTAAATGAACTAAAGACCCGCTGAGTTTCAATTGAATATTTTGATTTTTGAAATTATAAAAAATATTGACTCAAAAACCGCTCAACATTTTTTCATACTTTCTTTTCATGGATAGAACAAAGAAAGCTTAAAAGAATGACGTAAGCATCTTTTTTGTTGAACTCTGTGAATTTTGGAAAATTGCAAAGTGTGCTGCTGCAGCACCACTAGTTTTGTAAACTTTTATGATGTTGTTGGGATATTACTCCAAGTATAAAACATCTTGCTTAATTTCTTTTACAATTAGGTTGTTGGTTAACTTTTTGCTCTCCAAAAATGAATGGCGATTTGTCAGGTGTTTAGTTACATTGTAATGTTTAGTTAGTGTTTTTTACATTTATTATGTTTTTTTAACTTTCTATAATTAAGAAAAAATGAAGTATTGAAATTAGTTTTTATATCCATTGAAATATAATTAAAAAAGTAAAGTTTTGAAATGTATTCTTAAGATAACATTTAATTGAATGCATAAATATTATTAGCTCCTACAGATACCTTAGTTACTCCAACAAAAAAAAACAAACAACTTCTGCTAGAGTGTGATTTCCAATTTCTTCAGGATATGATATAACTCAGGAGGGAGGAGGGGGTAGATTCATCGAAGAACTGATGAGTGAAACAAAGGTGACCTTGGCTTACACAGCACAGACTGAGTGCATTTTAAAAATGCCCTTCTGAAACTTTTCTTTTCCCATTTCTTTGATTTGAATTCCTGTGGTTGAATATATCAAAATTATGTAATTGTAAATACCAAAAGTTTGTAAAATTATTTTAGTTTACGTATATATAGATATGTGTTTATATATGTATATGCGTGTGCATGTGGGCGTGTGTGTATACACACACACATATACATATACATGATACAATGGACAAAATTGACTTCGCCGATGTGATCAACGTATTTGCAAATGTAAGAGCAAGTGCTCTTCAAATAATTATATTCTTCCTTGTCAAAAAATTGTTTAAGTATTGTAATAATAAATAGATTTTTTTAAATTTGTAAAATATATTTTTGTCTATTGGTGGGGCGCCAAATAATATTTCTCTTTGGGCGCCAATAAACCAGAGGTCGGCTCTGTAAATGAGGCATCTAAGTGATAATTGAGTCCATGGGAAAATTAATACTTTTCGTCCAGGGGGCATCAAACTCTTCGATCCCATCCACAAGGTGAAGTACTCTGTGGTCAGCCTTTTTGTTGATTCGTTTCTGCTGAGAGTTCAAATGACAGAGAGGAAGATTCATATGGAGTTTATGAGATGTGTACTCATATCTAGTGTCATTTGTAAGGTTGTTACTTTCAATCGTGGACGTCACTACTCGTAACACGAAAAATTGGGAGGTGGGACATCGAAGAAAGTGCAGTTCTTAGTACCGGCGTGAAATTTTAATTTAAGGTACAACATTTTTATTGACTTATTAATAGTTAACAAAGGACAAGACGTAGATTAAAATCTGTAAAAATGTTGTGTCCCAGTTTTTCTTGAATTCAAAAACTTACTCAGGTTTTCAATAAACTTAGAAAACTATTCATCGCTAAAAAAGACAAAGGTATATTAACAAAAGCAATTCTGAATTATCTTAACTTGAATCATATATTGCTCAGATCGTTCTCGGAACGTTATAGGTATTTTGTTAATTTTTATAAGGCTTGGTTCGCATTCAGCGTTCATTGTTACACCGCTATATACCGTGGTTATAACAAATAGTAAAAATGAATTTTAGTCTATTTAATAGATTAAATAAGTGCACATAAAACACTTGATGCTATTAAAGTACTTTAGTGCGTGGCAAGTGATTTTTACTCGAAATTTACCCAAAATTGCAAAGAAACTGTGCCCCTCAGTCCCGTTGGCAGACGTCGCTCCGGTGTGGTGCGGCAACAGGTTTGCATTTCGCACCCGGAAATAACTTTTAAACTCAATTTTATCGAAGATTTTGTTTTCTCTGCTTCGTATAAGCATTTTTTCCAAGAGATAGAAATCTGTTTAAATGGACAAATTGGCATGTTTTTGTTTTGTGTGATATTTAATCAAATCATATTATTTACAATATATGCCAATCATTTGGAAAACTTATCAAGTCTCTCTAATGAGCTGAGAGCTCTTTTACAGACAATAATCTTTGCATCGAATTATTGTAGTTAATTAAATAGGAATTTGAGGGCAGAAATTGTCAACTTATCTGAAGACTTTTTTCAAAAGATGGTCATGAGCCAAGTGTCCAGGGACGAACCGACACCTCAGAGCATTTAAGACAACCCTCACTTTTAAACCACACCCCAGCTGCTTCGCCGCGTTCCAAAACGTTTGCTATCTTGCTCGCGATATGCGTGATCTAGCTGTGTCCTTGCTTAAAAAGAATAGGTGTAGAAAAATCTAAACTAAAAATCTAAAAGTTACAACAGA